CCCTCTTCCTATCCTTAGCAATCAATCTAAGCTTTCTAAAACATACAGGAGCTATGTGTCCAACGTGATCACAGAAATGACAAACAACTCTAGGATCATACATATATCTATATGGACTAGAGTGTCTCCTATGTGTCCTAAAGTTGCTAGGTTGTCTAGGTGCATTCCTTACATTCCTAAAATTGCTAGGTTGTCTATTTCTAGGATATTGTCTAGGTTGTCTAGTGAACCTATGATCAACGTAACTCCTAGACTCACTAGGTTTTCTCATCCTAGAAGTAGTGGGGGTATATGCTATTCTAGATTGAGTCTTCTTAGGATTATTAATAAATTTTCATTGTGAATTATCCATAAAATTATTTTTATCCAAAGGTCTTTCTCCTTCTTTTACGAAGTTCATTTTCTTAAGTCCCTTAGATTTATATCCTAATCCATTTCTATTATTTTGACCTTGTTGAACTATAAAGTGCATGTCCTTGCTAGTCTTATTATATTTTCCTAAATGCTCATGCAATCTAGCTACCTCTTTTTCATGGATTTTACATTGTGCACAAGGTGAATCAACACTAACTTTGCCAAGTTTCTTATTTTCCAATTTTAATAATTCCATCTCTTTATTAAGTTCGATTATTTTAGCTTCAAGAGAGGTGACACTTTCCTTGGCAAATTTAGCTTCTTTGGTGGAATTTATAAATTCACCATAAAGATCACTAAATGCACTATGTAACTCATCCAATGAAAAACAATTACTTGAAGACGATAAAGGAGTTGAAAAAGAATTAGAAGACACCTCTTCCTCGGTAGCCATTAGACAAAGATACTTTCCGAGCGTGTCAAGATTGTTGATGATTGTAGAGAATCTCTCAAAATAACTATCAATGCTTTCATTCTCCTTCATTGAGAATAATTCATATTCATGCAATAAGATGTCAACTTTAGCATCTTTAACTTGAGATGTACCTTCATAAGTGACTTCGAGTTTAGTCCACATCTCATTGGCGGATTTGCATCTTGATATCTTCCTATAATCATCAAGGTTCACAGCACAATAAAGATAGTTGATGGCTTTGGCATTTTGCATGACGTTCTTCTTGTCATGATCATCATATTCGGATTCCAACTTGGGAACACGAATTCCATCAACAATATTTGCAGGGGTAGTGTTTCCATGCTTGATTACCATCCATGAGTCAAAGTCATTTGATTGTATGAATATCCTCATTCTTTCCTTCCAATATGCATAATTTGTACCATCAAAGAATGGAGGTCGTGTAGTAGATTGTCCTTCGGATACACCGGCTTGAAATGTTCTTCCGGCCATGATCTAGATTTCCGGCGGTAAAGCTTTGGAAATGCAGCCACGCTCTGATACCAATTGTTGAACAACTTACGCACCTCTAGAGGGGGGGTGAATAGAGGTGTTCTTCAAAAATCAAGAACTTTTGGAAGAACAAAAATTCGCAGGAGTATATCAACCACAAGAACACAAAGATGAAGTGAAGGAGCAACACACAATGTATCCTGGTTCGGCCTAATGCCTACATCCAGTCCCCGAAGCAAACGTGTCCGAGATTCCACTAACTTCGTCAAACTTAACGGAGTTTGACAATCCGATTACAACTCGAGAACTTGAATTGGCAAGCCTCTAACCTTTCCACCGAAGTCTTGATTTCACAAGACTCAGGATTTTTCTCCAAAACTTGAATTATATCAACTTCAAGTTTTCACAATTCACACACTGTTTCAAAACAAAGTGCACAGCGGAAATACTCTTCAAATTAAGAGTGGATTGCTGTAGAATACAAGAACTTATAGAGTATGGCACACTAGTACTCTTCAAAACTCA